TGTTATCTTATGTTATGTTATGTTGTGTTGTTTTGTGTTGAGTTGTGTTATGTGGTGTTGTTATGTTATTTTATGTTATATTCTGCTATGTTGTTCAACGCATTTCACCTCAATTCAGTTCAATTAACTCAACCCGGCTCAACTCAGCCCACCTCAGCTCCCCTTATTTTAAAAGGTTGAATTTCAACCGCTGGGCGAACACTAGTATATATAAATAGGGATCTACTTCCATTGAATTCTATGGTTTTAAGCGCTGAAATGTTTCTTTTCTATATACACTGAAATAGTTCCGCAAGCGATAAACGATATGCTGTCTTAATCGTTAGTTATGCTGATTAAAATAAAGAGAAACAAATTCACAATAAATATTTTTAATTATTTAAAAACTATCAGTAATGTGCGCAACGCTGCTAATATAACTTAGAACTTGTTTCTCGTTCGCCAAATTGAGATGCAATGTTGTTTCGTAAAGGAAGAAATGATCTAAATAATGCAACTACTGTCATGTTATCGTTTGTTATTGCTATTTATAAAAGTTTGGGTGCATTCCAAATCGCCAAAATACAAAGCATCAGTCACATGGTGTATGAGTAACGATATTTCCCGATGATATTTCACACAAAAACAAGTATAATTTAATTCAATAGTCGCAACAAAGTACTTCTAGGTGTAATTATTTAGATAATTTCTTGCTCTACAAAACGATTGTGGAGCTCGCAAGGTGTTGTATACTGTCGTATTGTTGTATGCGACCAACTTTAAATGGCTAAAACTATATTTAAGGGATTCGCAAAAATAACCATAAAAGTCGTTTTATGAAATTTTACACCGTTAAAAAATAGATGATTGTGGTTTCTAGTCCTCTAAACATTTACTTAGCCATTAAAAACTTTACGACATACGTTAATCCGACACATACAATACCCTGTGAACCATCCAGATATTTATTTCTTCTTGATACGAGGCTATATTTTTGCCATTGAGCGATTAAACTAGGTAAATCTCAAAATACAATTGTTTGTTTTTTTAATATGTACTTGTTAATAAAAAAGTTTTTTATTTAATTCCATCCTATGAAGAAATTTCTGTGAATAACTGTGTTACAAAGATTAAGGATTGCGCTCTCAAAATACGGTCATGCTTTTTGATACACTTTGCGTCGCATGTGTGGCCATTATTACCGTTATATATAATAGTCCACTCGCTTATTCCATGATTTATTTAAATTTGAAAAAGAAAATGGGGTGTATATGTACACATACATACATAAATATGTAACACGAGAAAATAATTAAATATAGCAAATTTAACGAACATCAATGAAATATTCAATGTAAAAAACCACAGAATACCAGAGTGCTAAAATGATTGAATAATATTCGACAGTTTATCTAGTAAGCATAAATTTTTGCTGTCGGAAGGCAAAAGTTATAAATTTATGAATGCCAAAATGACAGCAAAAGCCGCCGCAAAACAATTATAAAACAAAAAAATAAAATCGCCACATTTTGACATTTAAATTGACAAGCGAATGTCACAAATACACAAGCACGCCAACCACTATTTGAGTGATTGAGTGATTGAGTAACGAAATAGCTGGCTGGCTAGCTGACAAGCATGAGGGGGTAGGTGGGGTGGTAGGTGGCAAACGGCAGGATGTCAATCATAATAAATTCATATGAAGGCAATTGTTATGAAAAAGTGAATTGAAGCTCGGTTTTTTTTTTTTTTGGCAAAGGAAAAAGCCGCGACTCTGCAGCCGCTAAAATAAGTGGCATTTAAATCAAAACAGGAAAATGTTTTACCGAGTCAAAGTGGCTTGGTAGAAATGGGGCTGTGGGTTGACTTGTTGACAAACAAAAAAAGTTGTTTCTATGGCGGTGGCTTTTGTGCGTAGATACGACGCAGTAGCTCTGGCCTGGATATGCTAACTTAGTACTTCACAAATACAAGCAATCAACAAGTTTGATGGTTTTTCACATTGTTTGCGTTTGTAGGCACACACGCAAGTCCATAAGCTGGCTTATAACTACAAGCGCAGGGAGCAAACTTATGTTTCAAAATTAGTTTTGTGTTTACCTTGACGAAAAATCGGCCAAAACATGTTTTAGTAAGAAACAAATTGTAGATATTTAGAATAATTATTCTTACCTAAAGTTTCTTTTGAAAAATTTACCCCTAGAGGGTTGGAATAGTCAAAGATATTAATCAGCAAACTTTACTTAGCGTCAACTAAAATGAGCATCTTTTGTGAATTAATTAATTTTGAAGGGAGAGGAGTTAATGCATAACGCTTCATGAAAAATAGTGGAATAGAGGAAACTTCAATACCCGGTTCGACCACCACGTATAAATACCAAAGTTTGGGCATAGCTTAGTTCAGGTTCAGAAATGGCTGTCCCACTGAGGAAGAAAAAACTTTGGGCAACTAAAAAAAACTAAACGTTTTTCTGATAAGCTTAACTCACTAACAGATGACATTAAATCGGATTCAATACTTACATTTAGCAACTAGCAATCATCATAGAGCACAACAGAAACTCACCTGAAATTAAAACAGAAAAAATAATAATTTAGAATTATTTTAGTTGAAGAAAACTTATTAAATATATCCAAAATTATGTACATACGGTGGCGAAAGAGACATGAAATATAGCTTACTATCTAAAAAAAAAAACATGTCCAGACGAATTTCAAACTTTGTAGAACATTTATAAACATTCGACGAATTTTAACAAATTGTCATCAAAATTTTAAATTTTTTAATTCGATTTTTTTGAAAAATTTTGAGCATGCAATTTTGCAGTTCATGAAATTTTTGTATAATAAAGTGCAAGTTTCAGGTCGCGAAAAATTACCGTTGATTTTTGAGATTTTTTTGTTTTGCGCGTTTTCTTCCATACAACCCAGCAACCCCAGCCAAAAAAAAAAACAATCTCAAAACTTAACGGTAATTTTTAGCGACTTGTAATTTATTATACTAAAAATTTAATGGGCTACAAAACTGCATACTCATTGCAGAACGAAAAAATATAAATCGGCATATCGGGGATGGATTTAGGCTAAACTGGCCGGAAGTCCACTCTTTTTTCTAAATTGGACTTCCGGTTAAAATAATCCACTTCCGGTCTGTTTAACCCACTCTCGGTCGAAACATGAGGTCGGTAATACGAATAAAAAATAAAGTATTGTCGGCTCGGTAGTTCATATTCTTGCGTTTTCCAATAAACAACATTTTCCTCGATTTTCAAAGGGGTGGACGGGTGGTCTAGCACACCCTGTATAATAAAACTGTTGCCGTTTTCTCTGTGCGTGCATCACGTAAAAAGTAGTGAATCGATTTAAAGGAGAAGGTTGTTATATACTTACTTCCGGGAGGTGGACAAAAGACCGACCTATTCGAAAAACGTATTTATGGTCCGGGTAGGTGGGCCAGGAACCAATCTATTCTAAAAACTTTTATAAAAAGTCCGCTTAAGTACATGTAATACAGATATAAAAAAAAGAATGCAACTGCAAAAGTTGGAAGGGATAAGTGGTACCGAAGTCGAGTAATTTCAATTTCAATTTTAAGTGCATGCAATATTTTTAACCGACTTCAAAGAAAGGAGTAGGCTATCAATTCGTCGGAATATATATATATATATATTTTTTATATATGTTACCACATAACTTTGGACAACGTTAACCGATTTCTATAATTCTTTTTTGAAAGGTAAGTTGGTAAGAGGTGGTCCCATACCAATGGCTTAGACGCGATCCTTGAATCATGAAGAAATTAACCGTCCGCTGAAATTTTGTATATGATTTTTGTCAGATAGGCAATATTTATTTCTAAAACGCCAGATGGAAGAAGATGGAAGATGGAGGGAAGTGATTCACATTTTCGAACAGCTCGAAGATATTCTTTTCATAGCCAACTTTATATGGTATTGAAAGGGGAAGGTTACCCTCTTATTTTCGTTATTATGTAAATATAAAAAAAAAAACATTTATTTTTAATTTTTAGGTACATAAATTTATCTACTCTTAGGTGACGTTTTCCCGCAATGCCATCCCTGATGGAATATTGGCTGTAAAAGAGGACCAAAAACAAACAGCTAATTGCTATTTGTTCAATAAACATAGCAGGGTTGCAGGAAAAAATTCCTTTAATTATCACTCAATTAAGCATTAATCGAGCAATTAAGAATTTAAATTTTGTATGGAAAGTGCAGCTCAATTAGCGCCTTAATCGCGAAAGCTTGCTTTGTTGCTCGATTAGCGGCCTGTCCGAACATACCTTAACGTTGTCAATATATTCAGCAATTCAGCTATGTAGCTTTTTAGCTTTTTCGAAATTCTAACATTGCATCTTTCACATGGCATTATTTTGTTACCAGCTAATAAAATGTTAAACAAATTTTCCGATTAAAAGTGTGTACAGCATGCGAAGAGTTTTTGAAAATTTACAGAAACTTTATTCACCGGTAAGAATTTTTTTTACCTGTGCAGAATAGGCCTGTTAAGAGCATTTTTGCGTTACATAGTACATAGAAGTATTAGTAAAGAAGCAACAAAACATTTTACGAACATTATATTTTACGAGTATTCTCGATCGGCAAAAGGTTAGAGAAAGGCTCGTAAACGACAATACAAAAACATGTAACAGAAAGAGGCTTGTAGTAATTTTGCAGCACAAAAGTTTTCACTTTGTTGGAAATTTTTCTTGAACCACAATATTTTATAATAGATAATATGCGCATACGAATGCTTTTTCGATTCGTTTACGGCTGTTCGTAGGCGCTCCACAATTTCAAGCGAAAAAGTACTCGAAAACGTATCGTAAACCGCTATCATAAACGACTTTGTATCCGGTTTTTCTTTGAGAAAATATCCAGTTACGAGCTTGTTTACGATGATTTTTCTGGCTGGGAAATTATTGGAGTTCATTTGTAGCAAACTTACGTTTAAAAATCGATTTCAATCTTAACACATAAACAAAAACAATTTATCTTTACCTTTACAACGCGATCACGTTTCTCCTTATCGACACCTTCCTCTCCGCTGGGTACTAAAAGGCGCCCTGGCTGCATGGCAGTGCCACCCTTCGATGTATGCGTGTCAGAGGATTTCATTCGATTATCACTTGGAAAACCCCATGCTGTATCAACTTCAATGCTGTGCTCTTCATTCCCATTTTCGCCACCGCTGCCCACCGATACCCTGGCACTACCGTTGAGTATCAATGGCAACATCAATTTAGCGTCTATGTCAACAGCGGCTGATGAAACTGGCACTGATGCGGATGTGGCGTTTGCATTATTAGTATTTACACTCGTTGCATTGCGAAATGTGGTGCTCACGTTGCTCGGTGCCGACGTAGGCGGAGCGGAAGCACTTAAAGTTACTGACGCATTGGATTGCATAGTGTTTCCATGTGGATTATTGACCAATGTCGTTGATGCATCTGCCGCTGTAGCAGTCTCTGTAGTTATAATGGTATTTGTTTTTGCGCTAGTGGCAATCGGCAGCCCTCTGCTGTGCAATTTCCCATTCTCTTTCAGCCAATTCTGAGAAGTGCTGTCGTCAAGTCCTTGCTGCCGTTCATTCGCTTGTGGTAGCACTTCTATAATCTTATCTGCCGCCGCATTGCCGCTATTCGCCTCGGCATCCACAAATGCAACGGCTGGTCCAGCAATGGCCGCCGGCCCACCACCACCTGTCAGCGCTGGGCTGGCGTGTTGTATGGAAGGTGGCAGCGCGTGTGCTGCTGCCGCCGATGAGGCGGTGTGTTGGGTGTAGCTGTAGCTGGCTACAGCCAATGCGTATGGCGCTGAAAATTCATCGAATTTGTATATATTTTTCGGATGATTATTGGCGTAATTAATATCGTGCAGTTCGGTGTCGTGTGCGCTCATGCTGTCGCTGGCGACTTTCTCGTTCAGCTTGATGATGTTGGACAAATTGAGATTATTGATCAGCGTTACGCCAGTAATGCCGACCAGCACAATGACGAAGCAGACGCCGCCAATTAAGAGTAGCGGCGTTTTCGATGTTTTCGTGCACATTTTTTTATTTTTTATTTATTTTTTAATGAATTCTCGGTTTTCGCTGCCGAGTTGAAAAAATTAATGGCGTTGGTTTGGTTGCTTGCCGTTTATTGGGCAATTGGTTGATATTGATATTCTTTTGGTTTGCTGGAAATGCGCTTTTTTCGTGTTCACTTGAATTTGTGCAAAATTTATAAAAATGTAGACTTGTTAGATACTTATATATGTACATTTATTTACTTTTATTGTTGTTCGCTTTGTTGAATTTAGCTACTTTTGATTAATAATTTCTTGCTTCTAAATTTGTTCTTTTTTTGTTTTTGTAAATATCACAATTGTGTTTTTGGCCTCAATATATTTCTTTGTGGATAAACCTAAAAATTTTTGATTAGTATAAATGGTGCTTTAACCGCGCAAATTGGGATTTATTATTTTTTAATTTAGCTGCCGCCCCAAAGCGTGCAAACGGGGATCGCAATTTTTACTTTGCTGCGCTGGTTCACTTTCATTTTTGTCTACTAATCGCTAAGCAGAGAGTGACTTGAGCGTTTTCTTAACAACTAAGATAGAAGGAAGATGAAATGAGCCTTAATGTACTAACTACATATTTATGTAGTACTCTGGCGGACGCTGCAGGCAAAAGTTGGGCATACTTTTCTAAGACTAAATGTCGCCGTTTATGAAAAAAAAAGAGTCCTCCGACCGCATAACAAAACAGAGCTTTAGATAAAACTTCTGAACCCCAAACGTCATTATCGAGACGTGGAAATAGAGAAACTCGAATACCACCAACCAGGCCAGCGAAAGCAATACCAGTTGAATTCAGCAAAAGCTTGGATACAAGAAGGCTTACTATTCTCTCTGCTATGGAGTTGCCTTTGTTGTAAGGCGAACTACTCGAAAGATTAACTAGTAGCGGTACATGAAGCCAAAGACACGCGCATACTAGCAAATTTTTTTCTTACAATTCTATAAAGCAGCTTTAAACGGCTTTATAAATTAACGTCCCCGTACATTTTTCAATTTATAAACCTTTTGTAAAGCTGCTTTATTTTTTATGAATAAGGCAATAAGTATTTTTCACGGTGCAAAGCGAAAAACTGACGCTGAGACATCGATCGCAGGGATTTTTCAAGAAAAAGTACTCGCCAGGCCAATGGGTTTACTATGCAGAAGACCAAAAAACGATTTTACTACCTCGTCGGACAATATCAAAAATTTTCATAATCCACACTAGCCTAGCACATGGTTTATAATTAAAAAAAAATTAAGTCCTTCAACTTTTTGTGACACCGAAATTAAGTAGAAAATAAGAAATCATCTTTTTCTGTAATCTCATCCCAAAACAACCGCTGACATGGTCAAAGGAAAATATGTTCCGCAAAAAGCCACAATTGCCATGCTCAACGCGCACAACACTACAACACTTAATGGTGATTAAAATAATAACGATGAGAGGTGTAATTTAAATAAAAAATAATAAAAACAACAATAAGACCAGGACAATGGCAAAGGCGTACACCAAAAAATTTCGACTAAACAATGGCCGCAATTTGAATGTGCTGGCGAAAAACAATTAAAACAAAATTCATAACAATGAAAGCGGCAAAAATGTTGAATACAGGACCGCACAATGCAATAAATAACAAAGCTGTAAACTGGCAAAACCAAAAAATAAGAAATAGGTAATGACCAAAAAGACGACTGCAAGTATGAATGCAAATTAATAAGCTGAGAAAGAGCAAAGGAAAACAAACAAATAACTACAAATAAAATGAGCAAAAGAGAAACAAATTAGTACCTGCACCTGCAGGTGAGGCAAGAAAATAAAAATATATGTATTCTTAAAGTATAAAAGGTATCGTGAAATTTAAAGAAACTTGTAGGCAACAGGTGGCAACCCTATTCAAAAAAAAAATAAAGCATTATTGCACCCCTAATGGTCAAGCCCTTTCATTTGACCTCTCACTTTTTAATCCAATGAACAGCCCACATCTTATGATTTTTCGTACAGGTGGCAACTCTCTTCGAAAAATAAAACCTTTTTCACATCTAAAAGTCAAGCTCTTTCATTGGACATCTCATTTTTTATAATTGAATGAACTTTGGAAATCTGATGTCAATAACAAAATATGCCTTCACGTGTTATTAGTAAGGTAGTACTTTTTAAAAATTTGGCAACCCCACTTATAAAATGAAAGCTTGATGCCCATCCGGAGACTATAAAATTTCACTTGGAACCTTATTTTTTAGTTCTATAATTAAAAAAAAAAAATGGCAACCCTACTCAAAAAATAGCATATTAGTGAAGATCTAAAAGCCAAGCGCTTTCCTTTTACACCTCACTCAAGTTCAACGAACAGCCCACATCTTATAATTTTTCGCATAGGTGGCAACTCTTTTCAAAAAAATTAAAACCTTATTGCACATCTGAAGACCACATTTTTTAAAATTGAAGGAACTATGCAAATTTGATATCATTTAAAAAAAAATCCTTCACTTATTATGTGTTAGGTAGTAATTTTTAAATAGATGGCAACCCCACTAAAAAAAATAAAAGCTTATTGCACATCGCGAGATCATATCCTTTCACATGGTACCTCCTTTTTTAGTCCTATAAACGGTGAAAATTTTATTATTTTTAGATAGGTGGCAACGCTTAAAAAATAATAAATGATTGAATTGGACACCTTATAGAAAATTCTAAGTACTAAAGATAGTACCTCTATCGTTACATATTATATTAAGCAAAATCGCGTCCAAATCTAATCTAAGGTAAGCTACAGTTGTAAGCACCTTTAACACTGCTCCAAATTTGCCAACACTCAAATATGTATGTATGCAATTTTTTACACATACAAACATATGTACATATAGCGGTCGCTAGAATCGGATAAGCCGCGGAGCGAAAGAAGACATCACACTTTACAAGGGGCGCGACCACAATATTGCACCTGCATAGCCAAGACAAAAACAAAAAAGTTGCATGTAACACGAGCACGAATAATGCAAAACCATGCGTGCACATTGCCGCAAAGCTCACACACAAATATGCACGTTTGCATATAAGTATGTACGTAAAAATAACCGGCAAAAGTAAACTAGAAATTAAAAAAAAAAAAAACTAAAACCCCACAGAACAAATAAGAGGTGAGCGAGCAGGAATAAACAAAAGAGTGGGGCGCGCGAATGGCAACATTCAACGCTCATTATTTGCGGTTTTCAAAAGGCTTTTCATTATTATCTCACTTGGTAAAGCAGGCACAACACACAATGCCATATTGCCGAGTCTAAGGCACCATGTTCACCCAAAAAAAAAATGGCATTCTGTACAAACAGCACCAACCACAGTCGCCTGCCAACCACCCACCGCGCACACTAGCCTAAACACACACACTGCAATGCATTTCAACTACATATGTACCTTCATTACATTTGCTTCACCCCGCCATCTCGCTGTCTTCCACAGTGGCAATGCAGGCTGCGCACCTTTGCATTCGCTTTTTGGTTAAGTGTTACTCTTAGGCGCGCACAGAAGTATGCTACTTTTTTGCAAGATGCGGTGGTTGCAACTACTTGGGTGCATACAGACATACATATTTGTGTACATACTCTACGTTTGCATGTGGTTGCAGGGACGCTTTTGTACGAGTGCGTACGTGTAATGCGGTTGCAATTGTATGGAGAGCATAATAAAGAAGGCATATCTTTTATTTTACCATCTTTCGCAGCGTTTCGTTTTTTTATCTGCATTCTTTTATTTGAATACCTTTGACCGGCCTTGTATTTCGCATTGTCGGCTGACTGCATGACATTAACCAAAACTTTCGAATGCACAAGGATATGCTTTGTGTGCGCCGGCAAGCAGCTACGCAAATAATGTAATGGATGGAGTGTAGGGTCAAAGAAAATCAGCAGCACTGGCTACAAAGTCAGTTTGATATTTTAATGCTTTCCGAATTTGAATGCACAAAGATACTGTTGATAAAAGGCCAAGGAATGAGAAAAACTTTTCGAATAGGAAAGATAAGAAACAAGGGAGTCTTTGCAGGTATGCCTTAAATAAATTTAAAAATATAACATTGAACTTGGATATGAATAAATATGAATATTAGAAACTTTGAATATTACTCGTAGAAATTATGAATATTATGAATAAGATTTTGAAAAGGATAAGAATTAGAATATCTCTACATTAATTCACAAAGGCCCTAACTAACATTTTTTTATATTTTACAGGAGAAGCAAAAAACCTAATAAAAAGAATATTAAAAACAGGTAGACTTTAACATTTTTATTGAAGGTGTATTTAATATATCCTACCAAAATCTGTGATAAAACGGAGTTTCGAAAACAATAGTGTTGGTTAAGGCCTTTGTGAATAAAAGTAACGATACTTATGTATGTATGTATATTAAAACGATTATGAATATGAGTACGAATTTGAATGTGAATGTGTTTCCTGAAAAGGCCTGACGGGCTTTTAGCAAAATTCTTTCTCAGGCAAAGAAAGATTAATCTATGGGACCTGATAGAACTGATTAAGGGTTATAATCCATTGGGACGACATATGGTTACCATAGGCATCACTGACGATCCACTTTGTGCATCTTGTTTGGAGTATGAGGATAGTACAGAACATTTTCTCTGCCGCTATGCGGTCTTCACCCCACTTAGATGGTACATTTTTGGGTCGGATGTATTGAAAATGGACGATATACATTTTATATCTTTCAACAAACTGCTAAGATTCATAAAGGAGTCTGGTAAATTTACAGAGGTGCAATTAATTTCCACCCCACCTATATATCCCTTTCCTTTTAATCCCGTCTCTACGCCTAAAGTACAAACGGCAGTACTGACCGAGTGCTTGGAAAAATAGTTTTTCTTGATTTTTCCGGCTACCCGCAAATCCATTCCAACCAAAGTAAGTATTTTATTCATTTTTATCATAATCTTCAAAACGAGGTTAAAATAATTTTATCTAAAGCTTACAAGTAAAAATACCTACCTATAGATTCAGCAATAAGCACGAATTTCTTAACCTCTTGATGGCACATATGCCACAGAATTTTTAGGCAGACAGTGTTTTTGGAATACTGTCTCATATACATAGTCGCAACAGCATTTTTGATATCCACCTGATTGGTCAATTACCGGCTTGATGTCTTACTTTTATTTATATAAAAAAAAATTAAGGGATTCTAATCAGGTCTATGGTCTGTGAAATCTGGAGTTTGATTTCCATTCTATTTGCATTTTGGGTCCTCATTATGCCAAAAAAATACACCTGTCATTCACCGACGATATGTACAATAATGGTCACACTCAGTTTAGGACCGAGATGCTTTTTCGCTTTCTTCCAA